TTATATAACTGGTCTGACAAATTGTGTACAGACTGTTACCAGTGTATAAATTAAAATTTTTGCATTATATTTCCACTGGAGCATCACTGGGCACACACTTGATTCAAGAGGTGAATCAGTTGAAACAAACTGTTCCTAATTGTCTTATTTCTTTTTTGTTTGTTTGTTTTTCATGTTAAGAATACAAGTTACCTTTTTTATTACAGTTTTGCTAAAATTTTATTATTACTTTGTCTGTCCTGAAATGCCTTAAATTTTACAGTTTACAAGAAGTAAAATGTTTTAAAATACATGTCTTGACAAACTTAGAAAATCATAAAGCAAAATCCCAAATAACATCTCAGGTTAAAGTTTTTATATCCTCAGACTTTTATTTCCACATCATTTGGTATAGTTAATTAAACTTGTACATTAAGGCTCTGTTCTGCTAAATTGTCTCACCTATTACTAAAAACAGGTCAGTCATAAAAGCTCCACTGATCATTCTGATGATTCAGGCCACTATCCTGCATGTTTTACAGGTTTCTCTGCTCCAACACACCAGATTCTGTCAAGTTCTTCATCTAGATTAAAACATCATAATAAAATCGGACCCACAGAGAAATCATCTTGAAACATAAAACTATAAAATGAGAATATTTTTATGTCATTAAACAAACTACTTTATGTCTGGCAGCCATTTTTTCACTCAGGCTTTTATGAATAAAATGATAAAATCTGTGACAAACAGAGGTAGAGAATTCCTCTGATGTGTTCTGAATAAAACAACATTTTGATTAAATGTTTGAGGAAGATCTCCTCTGGCAGCTCATTTAAATTTGATGTAAATGTTCAAAATCAGCCAGATGAGAAGAATCTGCCTTTACCATGTTCTCCAAACTGGTGTCTGGAGAAAGCTTCCTGTTTCAGGCAAAGAACTAATTGTAGAAAAATATAAATAACGTTATAAGAGGTTAAGCTGTGAGGCAAACTACGTTTAACTCATATTTCTTTACCTTAAGGGCCCGTCCCTCTGCTGGAGACAACCGCAATGATCACTGGAGCCTCAGCCACAGTCCTGTGGAGCGTATCATTTCTTCTCCTGTTAGTATCCATGGGAACCACCCGTATGCACCTGTTTCTGACTACGACATGAGTCAGCCTCTGGCTTTGACTAAAAGCACCAGTGACTTCGGAGGGAGCAGAACAGCGAGGTCTGTTGTGAGCAGCACCGCAGAGCGGCAGCAGGTTTGTTCACTTGTAATTATCACTCAAATATGTGAGGTTTCTGTTGATTCTTTAAATCGGTTAAAACATTTCATTTGTATGTGACAACCTGGAAGGACACTTATTGTGTTAATGATTAAAGCAGAGGTTTTTTTTTTTTTGTTGACACGGTACGAATGACAAAACAATACAAAAGAGCACTGTTCCCTTTTTTAAATTAGATAGTCACAAAATTCTGTTTGTAAACCAAACAAAAGTTGTTTGTCATTACATTTTAGACACGCTCTGCTTTGTTCCAGATGACTGGACTGGATATTTTAAAACTGAATTCATTCTTTGAAATCAGAAATAGATTTGAATGAAGAATTAATTCTGAGTCCAAGTGGGAAAGTAAGATTCAAGATTATTTTGTATATAAAGATGAAGTCATGCTTATAAAAAGTACACTAAAATCACCAACATCTACAGTATGTAGGGCGGCAGCTGATGTGAAGAGAGACAGACCAAAAATATGTCCTTTTACTCTGTGGCTCCTGAAACATCAAGGTGGGATTTTCAGAATTAATTCCATTTAAAATAGTTAATATATATATTTTTTGCCTTAGTTACAAAGAAGTGAGGTTAGTGTACTTAAAATGGGTTAAAGTAGCTTAACAAATACCAATGTTTGTCAGCCAAATAAAAATGGCTCAAGTTTCTGCTGCTCTTATTTTGTGGGTCAAAAACTGAGAAGTTTATGAACCATTGCTTTAGGGCTTTGCATAATTCAAGTTATTCAGATTATTTTTACATTCCTCTGATATACTGTAGGTGATATTCAGTTTCTGATATAAATGTAATACATCCATATCTCACATTTTAAGTGTATATGTTCAATGACTGAAAGTCTGATTCTGCTTTTTGAAGATTTTATTAAATCAAAATCCCATAATCAGTTCTGAGCACTACGTCAGTCGCTGCAGTCTCACTGAAACCGATCCATAAATGTATGATCATCAACAACTTTGTCCATTCCTATTTAGCTCTTTACATTAAGCGCTTTGGTTTTTGTTGTTCAGAATCGTCCCTCCGTCATCACCTGCGCCCCTGCGAGCAACAGGAACTGTAACCTGTCTCACTGCCACATGAACGGCTGCGCTCCCGCCCCACCTGCGGATCAGAGAAAGACCAACGGTAAGCCTTTAAAGTATAAAAATATGAACAGTGTTTTAACAAAGAGGTGAGGTGCATGAAGTAAAACATGAAACATGATTAAGATGTAACCAGGTGGTCAGATATTCACATATATGTAAATTTATTACTTTTATATATTTGATGTGTTCGTATCAAACAAAGAGTCATTTGTGTTACTCCCCTGAAGTAGCTCTCAGTCTCAAAAATGTTGGTGACCCCTGTCCTACAGCAACACTCACAAGTCGTGCTTTTGGTTTTAGATTGTGACAGACATTTTCTGCTGGTGCTACAACTATTTGCTCTGTGCTACAAAACCAGTAACCTCTGTAGCACCAGTGCCATGAGCTAAAAAAAAATAAATCAATGTACAGCTCTGATAGGGATCCTCCAGATGTCCCAGCTGCAACACACCTGTCCTAAATTAATTATCATCAGCTCAGGCTCGGCACCAGGTGTGTGGAAGTAGTGAATCAGACAAAACCTTACTGTTGTAACAACCACGTTTTCTTCCTCCTGTGTTCTTTCAGCCAACACCGTGTGTGACCCTGTGATCGAGGAGCACTTCCGCCGCAGCCTCGGGAAGAACTACAAAGAGGCCGAGTCCAATTCGGTGTCCATAACCGGTTCTGTGGATGACCACTTCGCCAAGGCGCTGGGCGACACCTGGCGTCAGATCCAAGCCAGGGGTGGGGGGCGTCAGACTCCAGAGGCTGACTCATAAGAAGTCAGGGGAGAGCAGTCGTGTTCAGTTTTAGAGTGTGTCCTCACGGGCCAAGAATCACCTTCCTCCAGCCAAGCACAATGTAAGACCAATGGTGCTGACATATGGTGCTCACCTGGGCGGGCCTTAAGTTCGCTCAGCTCCCATTTGTAGCCTAAAATATGCAAATCCCTGTCACCACAGGAGAAAACTTAAAAGTATCACGTGGTAGTTGTCAGGATGAGCCTCCATCTTTCCTCTTCCCTAAAAACAGCCAAAGACATTTCCTGCGTTTTTCCACCAACATGGAAGAGATGATCTTATTTTCTCTCTGAAACTAAACTGCTTTTCAATCAGTAGTACTTGAAACACGACAGCCAGGTTTGATTTACGTTATTACTTCCCCCCCTGAGATAGCAGGTTACCTGTTTCAGGTGGAAGTAATGTGTGACGAGTTAGGCTCCGCCCCTCCTGCTTTCTGAAGACGCATCATTTTAATGATGGTGAACATTGCAAGGTGAGTCAAAAGTCTCAGGACACTTTTTTTAATTTCAGAAACAAAAAGAAAATGACATCTGAATACCCAGCATGTAATGAGTAAGAGGGTTTATCCACACATTTTCAACGCATGGCCCACAGGCCAAGTCTGACCCTTGTTAGCATGTCATTCGGCCCCAAAGACAATACTTAATAGTTTTATGTATAGTTTTATTTTTACCTGATTTGCTGGATTGTGATCAAATGTATCTTTAAGATAAAATACATGAAAAAGTTGTTGATGGAGAGTAAGGCACAGGAAATAAATGTTAATGATGAGTCTTTCTAAATTTAATAATTTATTTTATTCATTATTCGTTAGTTAATTTATTTACCATTTCTTCAGTAAATGATGACAGCAATTGGATAAATTTTTAAATTTTGGTCACCTTGTGTAACTGAGTTTAACAACTCTGTTTCAGTTCATTTCCAGAACATGGCCGCCATATTGGATCAAGGGAAAGTTTTCCCAAATATAGCCCCCCTCACCCATTACTTGCTATAGTCATCAGGTATGACATTTTCTCTTCATGTTGATGACATAACAGGGTGTCCTGATGCTTCTGACTCAGCCTGTACTCTCCTGTTAAAAAGGTTTTTAATTTGCTTCGACATCCAGCTAATTCTCACTAATACCAACTGTAGACGTCGTCTCCAACTAGAAAACACCTTTCCAATAACTGGTTTCTATTACAAACCTTATTCTGTTCTATATATTTACTCAGAATTTATTTTTTATGTGTAACATTTTAGAAATACTCACTGCTGGTACAGTTATACTCGATATATATATATATTTTTTGTACCTGGTTTTCATGAATATATGTAGGTATATATGTTAGCATCCCTCTGCAAGTTGCAGCCTCTGGTTAGGTTGTGTTTAATAAACTATTATTTTTGTTAATCTGCTGAGCTTCACATGACTTAATACGGTTAAATCTCTTCGTCTGTAGTCTGGTTTACTAGCAGTGGCTTTATTTATTCGCTGTGTGTTGGTATTTTTTTGGAGGTGGGGGACAGTTTGCTGTGAAAACAAAAGTTTGACGTGTTTCTCTTCTAACGGAGAGGGTTTCTCCGATGTCAAAAAAAAAAAAAAAATACACTTAAAAGAAAACTGAAATGTACGTGAAACATAAAAAGCGTTTGTTTGCAAGTTTAACATTCCTACCACTGCTCCCTGGTTTTTACGATTCACTTCACACGTGCTTAACAAGAGCTGTTACAATTATTTTTATTTAACGTTACGCTGTTGCTAAAACTTTAATGGGGGAGGACTTTTTTATGCTTTTTTTTTTTTTGCAAAGCATCACTCATCTGGCAACACAGTGATATGTTTTCTTTTATTTTTTTGTTAAACAAGTTTATTAAAACACATTTGTATTAATGTTCTACGTTTAAGTTGTTACACTTTTTATTCTGTTTTGTTTTATTGACACGTCTGAGACCATCATTGCGCCGTGCGGAATGATCGTAGTTCTGTTGATTTTTGTTAGATTAGTGCGCTCGCGTAGAACGGCACTGCGCAGTTGTTTTTGTAGTAGCTGACTAATATTCCTAGTTGATGAGCGGAGGCACACACCCGTGTGTGGATCAAAGACTTGGTGCAGATCAGAACGCTTCCTGCGTCAGTTTTAACGCTTCTGCAGAAGTTTGGGGTTATTCATCTGGGATCTGCTTGTTTGACACAAGTAAAGTTTTCACTGATGTGTTTCGGCAGTTGTTATTTAATTTTTTATATTTACCTGTAACTCAAAGACGGTTTGCAGAAAAAAAAACTCTTTATGAATCGTTATAGAAAGTTATAAAACGTTTGTCTACTTATGTTATTTCTTTGGAAGAAAATACATTTTTTGTACTTGAATCTCTTTCAAAATAAAATTTATAAGAACTATTGTTTTTCTTTCCTCATTCAATCAAATGCGAAGCTTTTGAATCAGATTTTGCACTATTGGCCTCAGAATTTTATAGTCTGGTTTATTACTAAATGTGGTTTTTTTTGTGTGTGCAGCAGGACTAGAGATACTGATGTCCAGGTCTCATCACAGACTTCAGAGTGAAAATTTGGTTTGACATTTAAGGATGAGAACAAGTTATTCGGGGTTTTCTGTTTTTAGAAATGTCACAGACGACGTTAAAACTCATAAGATCCTTCAGGTGTATTTTTCATTTTGCTTTGATTGACCTTGACGTGTGTACAGGCAGTAGCACGGTGGAGCAGCGGATAGAGGTGTTGCCTCACAGCAAGAATATCGCAGAATTGCCTCCCAGCCTGTCATGGGTGGAGTTTGTTCTCTCCGTGCATGCATGGGTTTTCTCTGGTTACCTCCCACACATCAAAAACCTGCATGCTAAGATGATTAGTTTAAATCACTCATGCCAAACTCAAGGCCCGCGGGCCAAATGTAGTCCGCCATGGCATTTTATGTGGCCCGTGAGAACTTCAAAGACGTATGTGTTAAAATAGCCGTATGCTGCTTTAAAGCCAGCATTGACCATAATCTGCATCTCCCCATCTCTGTCGGAGGAGCACAGAGTTCAAAGTTAGCTGACAGCCAGTGAAATTCGCTGTATAAAATATTAATTTGGCTGCATTTTCACAGCCTACTTTTGTAGCGACCCACTTGTACTGGGAAGTTCAAACTTTTCACTTACAAGTCGTAAATTTAAACTGGAACGCTACTCGAGTGGGAATTCCTTGTTGGAAAGTGGGAGAGTTTAGAATTGAAAATGGCAGCTGCTCACCACAACTCGACAGTGAGTAAAACTCCGTCTTTTACTTTAAATAGTATCTCTGTATTATTTGTTTCATGTTTAGTCAGTTGTACACACTTTTCAGGGTTCATAAGAGGACGTGTTCAAGCACTGTTTCTATGCAGGAAATACCAGGTAGAGCTCAGTTATTGTTTGTTAGCGGTGCTCAGACATAACAATATGACAAGAAATGAGGCGTTTTGTGTTTATTCAAAGTTAAACACGACAAATCAAAGCTTTATACACCTGGCCCTTTGAAGACCATAATGCTCCTGTGGCCCTCAGTGAACATTAGTTTGACTCCGCTGCTTCAAATTGTTCTAGGTTTGTCTCTGTGATGGACTTGTGACCTGTCCAGGGTGTCCCCTGCCTCTCTGACTGCTGGAGATGGGACCAACTCCTTGTGGCCTGGAGAAGTGAAGCAAGTAAAGAAAAGAGATGGATGGTTTATACATCTTTATCTAGATATGATGAGGTAAACAGAATTTTGCTTTTCTTTGGTTCAGAAGTTAGAAATAGAGAGAAAAGATGGGGTGTCAGGGTCTTAATCCCCATCCCGTTCCCCGACTRCCATTTGGGGAGGGGGTCCTGAAGAAGGGTGGGCCGCCAGGTGCGGTCCTGGGCTGTTTGTGGGCTCGGGGCTTGGACGGTTGCCGGGGGCGGGGCTGGCGGATTTTCCCGTGCGGGTGCCCCTTGGGGCTCTGCGCTCGGGATCCCTCTCGGGCCCTTGGATTCTGGTCTTCCCCATGTCTGCCTCGTGT